AAAGACCAGCATTTTGATTTTGATTCGTTTGATCATTTTTGAACGGTTTTTGCTCGTTACTAGACATAATAGCGCGCAAATTATCAAAATCATTTTAAATTTCTTTGCATATTGTAGTTTGTTCTCTTTTTTGTTAGTTTTTTGCATCATATTGCATGCACACCGTGCTTTGTGTCTTCCCTAAGCATACGTTTTGAACGTTTTTCGTAAGAGTGCCTTAAGACATTCCGTGGTGGTGCTTTATGTAAAAGCACCCATAGATAGGTTTGTCATTTTACTATACTGACGTTATAAATGTCCGGGTTTTCTTCTTTTTTCACGTCCAAAGAAAAAAGGAAGGCGTTTTCATGCAGCGTAAAAATGCAAATGGTGTATCGTTCGGCGCAAAATTGTACGGCGTAGGTGTTGCATAAAATTTCACTCAGCCCAAGCTTTGCGAGATCTACCTCTCGGGACTAAAAGGTAGAGAATTACTATAGGCGTTAGCTCAACGAGTCGACAGGCGTGTCGAACCTTCAGGAACAGGCACTTCTTGAATGGATACGGTAGTTAGTGCGCTTACTAACTTACCGGATAGTTAAGGTGTTGAATTCATCTCCTGTATAAAGAAGCGACGAGACGATGTCGCGCTCATGTAGTCACGTGCCCCCAGTCATAAGACACGTGTACTCATCTTGTGGACAATACTGATGAGTGAGTTGCTAACTTTCTTCCCTCTCACTTAGTTTGGATATATGCCTCTAGTCCCGAGACATGTATTTCTATCTTGTGGACTTCCGGCTCGAATACCGGACTCGGCTCGAATACCGGACCATTTCGACTCTAATACCGAAAACCCCTTTTTAATCTTTTACTTTGTTAAAGTCAGGCTAAAGTTTCAATGACATATCGAGGGACTTTAGACCTACGATGACACGATTGAGAGGAAATCCTCCCCTTTTATCCTTTTAAAACCGATCTCTTCTCATGACCCGACATCAACCAGAACACTTATACTTGTAAAAGCGTTCTACAATTGCAAAGGATCAATCTAGATTCTTTAGCGCGTTAAGACTAGGAAAGACTTTTTCTAGCCTTAATAGCTACTTGTATCAAACACTTAGCGAACCAAAGATTATTTCGATATCCTCAAACATTACTGAAAGATTCTCTATCCTTAGAGAACTTTGCAGAATGAGTCTCAGATTTATTTCCTTGACTACTTTGATCATCGTCTATTCTAGACTCGATAAAAGTGGGGGCTAACTATAAACATCTACTTTTGGCCTCCTGTCCCGACAACAAGTGTAATGACGATAAATAAAACAATCTTTGTGTTGGATCGAAGTGAAGAATAATTATGGATAACTGGTTAAGCCACAAAACAAAAAAGACTAGCCCAAATTAAAGAAAAAAGCCAAAACAAAGGTCCAATTAACTAAACCCGATCACAATTAGGCTTAAGCCAATGCTTAAACCCTAAATAATGACGGATTTTGGAGCCTTGGTTAAATCTTAGTGATGCCACTGGAAAAGCCGCGCGCATCTCACATAATCGCGATGGGCTGCCGCGCGCAACTAATTGAGTTGTGCGCGACACCCAGAGTTGCGCTGCGGAAGATTCATAATTATTCGGAATTATACTGAAAATAAAAAATCGAATCTTACCACAAAACCGCGTGTAAGACAATTAGTTGCGCTGCCCCTAGCAGCGCAACTTAATAACTTGCGCTGGGTTGCCGCGCGCAACTCATTCGGTTGCGCGCGACACCTGTTGCGGTAGAATGCTCGAAACCCTAAACCTAAGCATTCCCAATGAATACGAGCTTTAACCGAGGCTTAAGGAGACAAAATTAAACTAAAACTCTGGCAAAATAACTTGTGAACTTGTGCAACCTAGCGCTTTTGTCTTAAATACTCACCCTTTCGATATCTTGTTGCTACAATGGAGGTTCCCTAACAAGAAGGAGTCCATAAGTGTTCTAAACAGAGATCTAGCAAAGAGAAGTGGTAAATTGCCGAGCACTTAGTTAAATCACCTTTATTTTCTTGTTTAAAAGGACTTTAATTAATTAATTAGTGTTGCTTCATCACCTTTAAAATAATTAATTAATCAATTCCACATAGTATCTTGCGTTAAATAAAGATTAGAATTGAATTAAATAATTGTTGGTTGATCACTTAAGACAAGGCGAATCTTGTTTATTTTCTTGTCCTCTTCACGAATTTAATTAAATAAGAATAATGACATTATGATGTAATTCCTACGTGAAGTAATGTTTGTAAATAAAATCAACTAACAAAGTTTTAGGTATCGCGTTGCATATATTGTTTGGTGATGAAATTGTAAAAAAGGAAGAGCTAGTAGAGGCCGTACTAGGGCTAGGATGACGATTCCCCTCTAAAAGGAACGTTATCTTATTAGTACCCTCGCTCCCGATCTAATTTCTGGTTTATAGAACAATTTGGGCAGGGGTAAACTTATGATATGTGCTAATTATTCCATGAACTCCACATGGAAGAAAGGCATGAACGAGATTTATAAGTTTTTCCTAAAACTCATTGGCGACTCCTACTTGTTTCTTACAAAAAAGCGTAATGATAGAATCAATTCTAATTCAAGGTCCCCCAAACAGTCAGAAATTCTAATCCTACTACACCCTAACAAGTATAAAGTCCTAGGCTTTTAAGTGGCCTAGGGCATTTAAAGAGAATACCCCTTACGATGGGATCACCCTCCTTACACATAGAACTCATAGAAGACATTGAAATTTTTTAGGACCAGACCACAACATGTATGATATATCCATATAAAGGCATAAAACTCATAAGATCAATGACAAATATCTCTAGGAGAGCAAAAAACTAATTAAAGGCAAAAAATTTGTTCTAGAAATCAATCTATTTGTCATACAATTTACAGTAAGACCAAGTAGCTTACAATTACAAATAATGGTATGCTATATATTCATTAAAATTCCTTTCGTCTAAATTTAGTCCACCACCTAAACATACTTTCTATATAAAGTAAATCATGTAAAACATATTTAAGAAGATGATGTGTGTTTTTATATTGATCAGAAACCCCTAAAAAAAAGACACAAAAAGGAAGAATCAGCCATATGATTTCTTTTTTCCTTTCAAAATTTAATTATGGTGCTATATATGTCAGCCAATAATTGAAAATTCAATCACAACATGATTTAATGTGTAACAATTCATAGTAAACTAAGGAACATAACTATGATAAAAGCTCACAATAGTAATCTAATGTAAGGAAAAGGAAAAATTTAAGAATGAAGAAGAAGTAAGATCAGTACCTTATATAATGGAAGAGAAGTTGAAAGTGAAATTTTATAAGAGCTTTAATATGAAGGAGGAGTATAATGATATATATATATATATATATATATACTTCCGAAAATTAGAAAAACCGTGCACTTATTGTATACACAACAGTGTAGTTACTGTACCTTCAAGTGGATAAATCATCTTATCTGAAGCTCAAAGTTCAACTTTCAAGGAACCTATTTCACTTACTCAATTAACTTTAGTTGTACTTGTAGAATTTTTTATAGCCATGGAACATAAAACAAAAGGCCAAAAGCTGTACGGCATATTAAATCCTCAATAGCATTCTAAAATATTACATACTTACACTTTATAATTTATTATTATTAATATTGAATGTTGTGGTTTCTATAATTTAGTGTTAGTATAATTTTTTCTAATCACTTTTGTTTTAAACCAAACAAATAATTTGTTCTTTTGTAAAACAATATATTACAATTCACTTTTTAACCAAATCAACATTTTTATCCTTTTTTTTTTGTTTTTTGTAAAAGAAATCCTTTTTCATTTTTAGGGGATGAATAATATATTAGCTATGTGCTTTGATCTATACTAACAGTAATGAAAATACAATATATGTACTAAATCTGAATAAGTCAGCAATGCACTATCCACAATGCAAGCCATACCACTAAATGTGTGATATAGAAGACTTCATAACCATATGTAGAAACCGTTTCAAAATAAATTAAAAGGTCTAACAAAAACTAGCCAACCTCAAAACATCATAAAGGGTCTAACAAATACCAGCCAACCTCAGGACATCATAACATACTACATTCTTAACACTTGTTGAAGGAAATGGTTCTGGAGCCATTAAAGAAAATACTGCTACATCTTGCCTTTTTTAGCCTGTAATAGAGCTATATACAGTTGACCATATATGAAAAACAAGGCCGTGGAAAATTGATTGATACTCGACTCAATGTTTTCCCTTGAGATTTATTAATTGTCATGGCAAAACTCAATTTCAAAAAAAAAATTATTTCCTTTCAAATTGAAATGGGTACCTAGTTGAAGCTGAAGGGCATAACCTAATGTGTGGTATGAAAACTTGATTACCTTTATAATGTCGAACAGTAATCACACATAGAATAACATTTGGAAAAAATCCTACACATATGAGCCATGTACCATTGCATAGACCAGCTGAAGGCAGTAAATAGCGTAGCAATATTACTGGGCAATTTTTTTTAAGAACAATTTCATGAGGACTTAGTCCATCAGGACATAGTTTATTCAAGAATTCTGTAGGATAGACATCGCATGCATCACTCAAAATCATATCAAAACTCTTATAAATTAGAGGATCACCTGTAATTGATTTATAAGAGAACTGTTGATGGAATCAACACTTCTTTCAGTGAAAAAGCTGGTTTAGAAGACTCCTTGATTAAATTCCGAAAACACTGTTGTTGTTATTTCTGATATAGGATTCTGAGCAGTTGTAAATTATTTTGATATATTACCTGGTAGGCTTACACATGCATTTTTAGTTTGTTGTAATTGACCATTTCCTAGTGCAAGCAAAAAGGAACAGAATTCTGAATCTTCTTTAGCTCTTTGATTCTGTGTTACTTGAATTTTATAAGCTGAGGCCATATATACGAAGTAACTATGCAAGCCTGCACAACTTCATTTTGATTCTTAAGAGAAACAACTGGCAATACCTAACAAAAATCTCCTCCAAGAACACCCAGCTTCCCACCAAACAAATCTTTATTCTCACATATGTATTGCAACATCAGATCTAAAGATTCCAAATTGCTTTTATTTTCCATAGAAGCTTCGTCCCAAATGATCAATGTAGTTTCTTTAATAAGTGCAGCTAAACTGCGATGCTTAGGTACATCGCAGGCCAATGAACTCTCTATATCAACTGGTATCTTAAATCGTAAATGAGTAGTTCTTCTAGAAGGAATATTAGCTGCTGCAATACCAGATGTGGCTGTTGGTAAGACAATTTTTTTCATCAATCAAATTTGCGCATATAAAGCATTGTACAGTAAAGTCTTCCTTGTACCACTAGGTCTATCAATGAAAAAAGCACAAGATTTTCTTAACTGAACATGTTCCATTATATATGAAAAGGCATACGACTGTTCGAGCAGTTAGTTGACTGATACAATCAATACAAGATTAAGGGATTAGTGCATCTAAAGCATCAATGATATCTTTAGTTCGTTGGAATTCATCGTCTTCACTTAAACACAAAGCACTAAGACCCACATTGCTCAATGATTTTCCCATTGCCTCTAAAAACTGTTCTACTGCTCTGATTGTGAGTTATTTAGCCCTTTCACCATTTTTTGGGTGCTGTCTTTGAAATCTTCAAATAATAAGGAAAGTATTTATAACATAAAGCCAAAGGGTCTTTTTGTTGACAAAATATCAGTACAGTTGCAAAAAGGCATCGTAATGAACACAGGTAACTGAGATTCTTTTGCTTCTGACATACATAAATCATCTATATCATCGTCTTCAACTAATCCTAATTTCAAATTAGCTTCTTGGAATGTATCGCACACATGAACATTCACAGTTCGTAGGTACTCAAATGAAGTTGGACTTTGCACATTAATTAACAACAACCTCAGGAAAAACCTCTCTCCTTCAGCAGGATAAACAAATGCTAGTCTTCCAACCATCATTGTGTGTTTCTTTCTCTGAACCCACTTATTAGCAGATGCATCCCATTGGTAATGTTCAGAAAATTAACCATATAAATGCCCTGTTCCACCTAGGTAAACAAATAGTAGGTACAAAGAATTAGAAACTTCAGAAATCATTGTAGATAAAGGAACCTGTAAAACAATACGACAAGGATTTTATATAATTATATGTCACCAAATAGTGTGTGTGAAGCTAAACTATGGCAAAGGCAATGCTACGAAGAAGTGTTAAAACAAAACAAAAATTTGGTAACATAAAAAACAAAGAATATCAAATGAACAACTGTGAGATATTGGCAATTCAGAGCAGAAGAGTGATCAAAGAAGTTCAACTTGATAAATTAATGATAGTGCAAATGAACAAATAGATAAAATCTTTTATAACTCACATTCAAACTAACTTACTAATCAACAAATACATCTAAGCACAAATACACATGCATATTTCATCAAAAAGCACACAACATATGAAATTTAGAAACTTAACAATAGTATTTAGAGTAAACACATACAATAAGGGTCTTGGTTTCTTAACTGAGGCATATATTTGCAATGAACATTGGGCTTTTGCATGGAATTTTGCCTACAATAAAGTAACCTAATTAATGAAATAATAAGCAGATAAGCTATTTCAAATATTCCAAATATATGAACTCATAAATCACAGTATGCATTCATAAAATAACTTGACCAGGTTGAATGACTAAAATACTTTAATTCAAAAAAAGAAGATTCAATGAACAATACAAATTTCCAAGATGCTTAAATAATTTGAAGATTTTATATGAATAACATGCAAAAGTGACAAGTGTAATGTGTATATATTATGTCATACCTGCTACAGCAGCATTAGCTGCAAAGAATTCAGTTAACGGAGTTCTACTCTACTTACCATCAGAAACAACAGCACGGAGCCGTTCATGTGGTCTGAGCTGAACGGTTTGCATATTTGGCAAATGAAATGGAAATGGAAGTACCGGTGGACAAAGCTAAAAATCCTCCACGTAGCTTCACAAGGGGATACCCAACGGCCTGATTGATACTCCTTAATTTCATCAACCACAACATCTTTCTGAGGCGCAATATTATACTGAATTCGATCATAGCCCTTGTAATCATATTTATATAAATACTTGACTGCCTTAATAGTAAAGCACACCTCAACATTCAAATGACAATCAAACAAAATAGATAAACATGAGTTATATGGAATTACCCAATGATTATCAAGTTGAGCACTACGAATTTTCACACATTTTCTCCTGTGTCCCTTCTCTTGTATAAAGGGTACCCTTCTTTTATAACAATTGTAGAATCTAAAAATTGCCTAGGGAAACCATATTTGCAACATTCCTTCAATCTTGATTTTTGCATACATGAACAATCAGGGTTTAAAGGTCCACATGGACCATGCATCATATGTCTAAGTATTATTTTAGGCAACAATGGACTTATCACAGGAGGAAAATCTGTAGAAAAAAATTTATCATAGACTTCAATACACTTCAGTTTGAATTCCGGTTTCAGAATAATAAAAAAGTGAGCATGTGGAAGACCACACTTCTGAAATTTAATAACATATATTATAGCAGCATCTTCACCAAAACATTTTTTTACTTTATCTTTTTTTTCAAGGCTATTAATTTAGCATGGAAAATCCAAGCTACTAAATCAGGCGATCATGTGCTTGTTCTCTAGGGCTCAATTCATTTTTAATCTCTGGCCAATTGGCATTACATGTCATGGTTACAAAGAGATCTGGTTTACCAAACCTTTGAACCAAAGCCATAGCATTAAAATATCATTTTTTTCATATCTTGCGGACCTCCAATATATGTAGGAGGTAAAATCACTCGGCGGCCTACATTTGCTGCTATAGTTTCTCCACAATCCAAAGAGTTCAACAAACCCTGATATAAATAAGCTCTGATAGTTTCTCGAATATTACGAAAGAAATCTAGCATTGTATTTTAAATCTTAACATACATATCAACGATGTACTGTTGAAAACCCCTCCCAGCCCAAATCAGTAGATTATTAGGCCTAATTTGTAACTTGAAAGCATAATATTCTCTTGCTGACACATATTTATCTACTTTAGTATTTCGTCTGGAAGCATCTGGAACATAATGTAAATTAAATAATGCAAAAATATCTTGAATTTATTATCTATTCTTATATATATGTATATGAGCATTAGGAAAATAAACTTACGAGAAGCTTCTTCTGCACGTAGTTCAACTGTAATATGAACAGCATAGGACATTACAAGGTCAACCTGCTTAGCAGGTTGTTGGTTGACATCCCATGTTATTTTCTTTAACCCTTGAGTCCACCCACATTCCCCTTTTGGAAATAATAGAGGATATTGCAATGGATCATAACGCCGATAATAATGGTTGATTTGATGAGGCTCAACTTTCCCACGCACAATAATATGAAGGCCACTACTCTACAATGAAGACAAGCTATCTAACCAAATTCTAGCAACTTCATCCACAGATGGTGCATTATATACCGTTTGATCGGTAACTGTATTTTTGTTCAATACAATAGTCGTGCTCTCATCAACAGGGATTTCTTGCAGAGATCTGAAAAACCTTGTATATGGATTATCTCTAGTGATATCCATTAGTAAAGAAACCATTTCTTCTCTTACTTCTGGAAAACTGTCTAGACGTTTTATGCACTCATGCTGTCCATCATAAAATACTATTGCTTCAGAATAGGGTATGATGAGATTAGCCCTTTGCCAGAGGAATTTGGTGCTATCTTAGGCTTCCCTGCAATAGACCTTATAGCAACCCCTAGAGTAGATGCATATTATTATAAGGATTTTGAGCGCTTCTTTAATTTAAAAAAAAGGGATTTATCAAAAATAGTAGATGGAAACATAGTAAATTTGAAAGAATTTGCACGCTATTATTTTGATAAACCTCTTTCTGAATCTTTTCATATATATAGGAGAAGGGCGTTCCTATTTTGCATGCTAAATCAATTTTTTCTTAGTAGTGGTAAAAATAATGAAGGCCAATCAATTATAACCACTGTTTTAGAACAAATTGAATCAAGGAGAAATCCAATGTCATTGATAGTTGGAGAGACTATGGTTAGTCTTGATGAACTGAAAAGGGACCCAAAAGCACCTTTTCGCGGCTCTTCAATTTTATTACAGGTAGAAAAATAATATTTTTAATTACAAAAATCAAAAAATATATTTTTGTATTGTAATAATAATTTATTTGCATTGCAATTTTTTTACAGATGTGGCTAATGGAAAGGCTAGGATTAATTAGCCCTCCGGGCGATATTGAGAAGTATACTCCCAATTGCTTCATGAGAAGGAAGAAACGCATCCCTAAAATTGGGCGCCATGGGTGGAGAAAAGTCTTCGAATCACGTGATTTTGCTATCAAGTGGGTCGTCCCATGGTGGAAAGTAGAAAGGATGGTTGGTGTTAACAAGCAACCTTTCTGACGTCTTCCAAGCTTGTCTCGTGTGACTTATTATTACCCCTGCAGGGTAAAAAGACAATACGGCTTGCTTCAGAATATTCCTTCTAGGGATCTTCGTCCTCCCTACGAGTACCCTGTATCTCAAGAAGTAAACAAATTTGATGCTTACTGGAGTGCAAGACCTTTGTGGGAAGTGATTACCCAAAAGGTTCCTCCTTCTTTTCCCAATGATGTGAAGAAGTGGTTGCTGAAGAAATCTTCGAAGGATCAGGGTAGAACTGATGTGAAGAATCGTCTAGGTGACAGGGTGATTCCCGCCAAGGAACGCTTAGGTGCAAGAATTGAATTTAAAACACCTGCAATGCCTAGGAAGAAAAATGCTACCAAAGATAAAGGGAAAAGGAAAGCTAACACCACAGATAAAAAGGCTTGGGTGGAAAAGAAGCATGGAGTGTTAGCTGAAGGGGAGACTATCTATTCTAAAATTGAATGTAGGTCCTCTAAAGGATGCCTACTAGCTAAAGTTATGGATGAGGAGGAGGAAGCAGACAAAAATTGGAATAGGGCTAGGAAGGAAAAAAAAGATTAGGAGCATTGCTTGACTTTCAATTTATTAGACTTAGTTTATTATTTTTATTAAAGTTAATTTATTTCAGCTTTATTTAAATTCCATCAATAATGTAATTTTATTTTATTAATGAAATTTGGGCTTTCAATTAAATTATTTACTTTAAATTTATCTTAATGAAAACCGAAAAAATTAATTTTCCAGAAATTCTTCGAGTACGGAAGTCGAAAATTTTCCAAAAAAACATCGAACTTCGCCCAGAATTTATTTCCAAATTGGCGCCACTTATTGGCAATTGGCGCCTATCATTGGAGTCTGGTGCCAGGTGCTAATTTCATCGGTTGGCGCTGATGATCGCTGGCTGGCACCAGGTTCTTCTCTGCGACGCCGATGGTTCGCCGATCTTCAGTTGAATTTTTAATTATTTCTGGAATGCGGGGATGTCGAAAAATAAAGTGGCCGCACCCGTAAATGGTTGCCTACGTATCCTTTCTTAAGGAATCAGGCCGAACGTAGCTCTCTTGAGTATCCTACTCAAGTAATTATGGGTAGTATTTCTTAAGTTGGTCAAGATTTGTCATGTTTGAGAATTCATTGCCATCCATATCAGTTAATTTTGCTGCACCTCCTGACAGGATTGTTTTGACAATGTAGGGGCCAGACCAATTAGGTCTAAATTTACCCCTTGGATCTAAAACATTTTTCCTTAGTGCTTTTAACACTAAGTCTCCTATTTTGATATTTCTTGTCTTGAGCTTCTTATTAAAATGCCTAGCCATACGAGTCTGGTAACACTGAGTGTGATGTAGAGCTTCTAGTCGTTTCTCATCGAGTAGAATCAATTCTTCATACCTTGCCCTAGTCCATTCAACTTCATCGAGTTTACTCTCTAGCGCAATGCGTAGAGATGGTATTTCTAGTTCGACATGTTGTACGACATCCATTCCATATAC